GGCATGAAGGCATGTAAGGGGAACCCCATTTACAAAAGTCTTTATCATCCCACCTCAGCCCGAAACCCACCCTAAACCCTGAAATCCCAACCGCCCTAACCCCTGTAGACTCATCCCAGTTTTTGAGAACCTGAAGGAGTCGGCCAACCGACCTCTTTGGATGCGTCCATCTGGCGATCCAGCTCCAGCATGGCCTGTCTTAGGTTTAAGCTTTCGGGTTGGGGTGTTGGGCCTACGCCCCAAACCCTAAACAGCGGTTTAGCGGTTAGTCCTCGAATTAAGGCTCCAAGGGCCCTTTAAAGTTTCCTGGATTGATATCGGGCTCCCCGGGCTGAAAATGGCTTTTATTTGGCTGGGGTTCAGAGTTTAGGGTTTAGGTCCCTGACTAACATGTCTTAACGCTGTTCGTTCCGTTGGGCCTTTCGACAAATGCCATGGTCATACTTATATATTCAGACGTGGCGATCAGAGATCAGATAAATCCGTGCTGCATGTCGCGTACGCCTCTAAACCCTGTACCTGTATCAAACTTCTTGCACCCACCCAAAAGAGCAAAAACCCTAAGCCCCCAAACTCAAAACTTTCAAATCCTAAACCCTAAACCCTAAACCCTAAACATCACACTAAGACCTCATTGTTCAATTCCGCCGCCTCGGTGAGTAGCTCTTGGAGCGATGCATCCAGGGCTCCTGGAGGAGGCCCTTGTGCTGCCACGGCCTGAAATTCTAGGAGTTTAGGGTTTAGGGGTTTAGGGTTTAGGGTTTAGAGTTTAGGGTTTAGAAAGATATAGTGATCTCCTACGAAAAAACCTGTAAGAACACTATAAGAAGGTTGTGGCTTAGGATTCTGGAGCTTCAAAAAGGCTATGGGGATTAAGGGTTTGGGGATTGTGTTGGGTGTAGGGATTCCAAGCAGGAGGATCCCTCAAGGATTCTACAAGGGTTCCTTTTAGACCTCGTTTTAGGGCTCTTTGAGAGTTCTTACCAGGGGTGTGGGGTTTGTTGAGTTTACGGGTTTAGGGTGAATATGCTTTTTAGGGTTTAGGGTGGAGTAGGCTCGTTCAGATAGAAGGTGCTTTTGAGGGCGCTACAAGCGATACTGCCAGGGTGATATAGGCGTTACGTATGGCTTTAGGCCTGTGGGATCAGGGTTTTGGGATTATACTTATAAGCTTCATGGTTTACGGGTTCTTTCAGATAGGGTGTGGGGGACAGGACATTCAAGCACTATGGGATTTAGCCCGATGGCATCCGTTTTTGTAGGAAGAAGATCGTAGTTGTTCTATATAGTCTGGGGATCATGAGGGCAGGTTGGCCACAGTGCTTGTTAAGCTCGCATCCCTTCACTGCCCTTACCACTCCTAAACACTCCTAAGCCAGCAGCATAGCTGTTCTGTCCTCGATTCAGTGAGGACGATCATGACGACCATGGCGACGAGGATGAGGAATACGACCAGGGTTTAGGGTTTAGGGTTTAGGGAAGTGATGATGCTTCAAACGCCGAAGCTGACGCCGGTGACGAGGACGATACTTAATATTGTGGTTTCAAAGGTCATCGTGACGGTGACGTTGATGCTGGTGATTGCCGTAAAGGCAAGCGTTGATGATTTGCAAGATGGTGATGCTGATGATGACCCTATAGTCTCCATTGTAATTCCTTTTTTTGGTTTAACCATGTATATATTAAGGATCTTATAAGGTATCCCCAAAAGGAACTACAATGGAGACTATAGGTAAACCCTAAACCCGAGGGTCAGTTACTCATTCCTTCATCGCAGGAGGTCGTGGAGGGACTGAGGCCCCTAAAGACCAACGTCAACACTAAGGTTGTGGTTGAAAGGGCTAGGGTTCGAGGCTCTTACAGGGTTTAGTTCAAACCGCAGGCGAGGGTTCTGGTTCCAGAAGACGTTCCAGACACAGGCATCTTTGCTCATTGAAAGCAGGTGCACAAGTTGGAAGACAAGATTGCAGGCTCTTGGGCGCTTCGGCTTCTAGACCCAGCTCCTAAATGGCATAAGCCCTGGACCCAAAAATCCTAACCTTCCATGCCCCCCCCCCCAAACTAGGGAGTGAGTAGCTAGAATAGTTTTTCTTTTTTTTTTTTTTTTTTGGGGGGGGGGGTCCTGATAAGATCTTCAATTATTCCGACCCTGACATCAGCACAATCTACCATAGGGGTCCTTAATATTTAGACTAGGGTTTGGGGGTCCATTATACAATAATTATAATATCCAACCACAAAAATACTATAGGTAATTATTTAGGCCCTATATGACAACAATAGCTCCACGATCCGATGCCTGCAACAGGCTTACAGTTTAGGAGGAATTTCGGACAGATGCGGCTGCACTGATGCTGCACAAAATCGTGCATGAACTGAAGTAGCCGAAACTATGGGAAGTATGGACCTGGAACAGTGACATAGTCCTTCCTATGGATTTTGCAAAGTTTCCAAAGTGTACTCCGAATGCATTACTAAGTCTCTGTTTCGGTTTGGCTCTCTGTCAGAGGCTACGAGCTCTGGGACCTTGTCATCAGAGCGCTGTGCGACGCCCGAACTCGCGATACCCAAGACCCGGAGACACGAAACTCCGTGTGGGCCAGGGTTTGCGACCTAAATCTCAAAACCCTATCACCCGACACCCCCCACGACCTTAAACCCAAACACTACAATGTAGAAGCCTGAACGATCACAAACGCTATTCCTTCGGATTTCTCATTACGATTAGCGTTTAAAGCTCCACCCTGCGGCCTGCAGGGCGGCCAGCACCGCAGAGGTTCGGACAGGCAGCATAAAGCCCCGGTCCTTGGCACGGTGTGAGGGCTTTGGTTCTGGAGCATGGGAGAGAGAGCCGGTAGCTGTGGTGGGTAATCTGACATGATTCTTGTGCGTACAACTAAAGAGTCAAGACTACTGGTGTTTTCATGATGTGGTCCGCAGATGTCCATAAGACTATTGCTAAACTACTCTTCATCACTCCATGTTGCTGCGGTCCTGTCGCTTGTCCAGCGTGCTAACCCGGTTTAGTTGTTTTTAAAGTTGGGTTGACTGGGTTTGGGGTAATGTAATATAGAAACCTTTATAACTAGAACAGGGTTTGGGGGTTATATTATACCCTGCTACCTTAACCCGAAACCTGAAATTGACATCTCACAAACCGCAAATCCCCAACTCGAAGCAAAAAGCAAGACCACCAACTCCCAAAGCCCGATCCTGATATCAAGGACTGGTGTTTGTTGGCTTTCTGCTTTGCTTTTAAGCCCAGTACCCTGGCCCAAAAAGGTTTAAACTTTTCTTTTAGTAGGGGTTTAACATACCATGGGCTTCTAAGTTTGGTGTGTAAGGGAGCCTAAGTAAGAAGACTAGTAAGTGACTATAATAGGTACTCATGCACCTATACTACACCTCAAGCCTCAAGCCCTGAACCCTCGGCATGTCCGGTCGCGCGACACGTCAGAACCCCGAGAATAAAATGAGGGAATAACGGCGATGTGGTTTCGGGCTCAGGGGCAAAAAGTTCGGGGCTCCGGCCACGACAAGACTTGAGCCCACACTGCAAGCCCCATAAACCTTACATTGTAAAGCGCTTGTTCAATCCGAGTTCAAGACGAGACGAGTTCGCAACTCTCGTACCAGCCACGGTAGCCACTTGGGACCTGCGACACGAAGTTCAGGGTTTCGGGGGTTCCAGGTTTACGGCTTTTGGGTTCAGGGGTTTAGGGTTTAGGGTTTAGGGCTGTATCAGGTCAGGCACCCAAGTTGAGGCCGTCAAGTTCGGGAGACTGAATTCGAGATGCCCCCAAACCGACCTCATACTCGGCGCTTTCGAAAGACCACCTAGAAATTGAGGATCTCACAGCAGGGTTTTTCTAGGATCTGCATATTCAGCTTCTCATCTGGACACCCAACCAGCTTAGGAGCTAATGTAGGGCCGACTACGGCGTTGAGGGATACTAATGCATGAAGCCCTAAGCAATGTCACCCACCAACAGTGACTACAGGGGGAAACCACTATAAGCAAGTGGATGGGGTGGGCATCCGAGTCCTGACCCACACCCTCTGCTATGCATGCCGTGCATGCTTCCAACAACGTCCCCTGAAAAATCGCTCGTCACCTTGCGCGGCTATCGGTTCAGCGATGATATCACAATCAGCTGCCACAAAACATGAGCACCCGGTCTTCACATCAAGGAAGCTTCGGAAGCTCAACCAACAAACCTCCCACCTCCAGCCACCTCTCATACCACAGAAGCCGAACACACCTCGAACTCCATCAAAACCACCCACACACCGAAGGGCCGTCGCAATTGCAATAGGATTTGGTGGCAGCAGCATACGGCCATGCAAGAGTATTGCAGCCAAGGAACTCGTCAACCCCGAATTTCTTCATACCATACAGTTCTATCTAACTGCCTTGATTGCAACCAACCAGCCAACCAACTAACCTTGCACCAAAGCACGCTCTCGGGAACTGCTTTCCACACTGCCATGCGCGCTGCGACCCAAGATCACCATCTGGCAGTAGCTCATGCTTGCGTCCACATCATTCTCCTTCGGCACTAAAGCCAGCCCAACCACATTAAAGCGTACATAAGGTATGACTCTGTGCCCACGATGAGCTGCATCATCTCTCCGTCACGTTTGCGATATGCGAGGTCGAAGGGTGTCATGTTGAAGCGACCCTTCTTGCGCGTGTCAGCCCTGGCCTCCACCAGCAAGCAACTTCAGTGTGGCCTTCCGCAGCTGCCGCACATAGAGGCGTGACAGGGCGGTGCACTTCTGAGCCGGGGCCGTCCTTGTCCGCTCCAGCTTCCAACATCATACGCACCACATCAATATGGCCATTCTTGCAGGCCACAGCCCGTGGTGTTAGATAGTCATCGTGTTTCGTGACAAGTCCTTGCTCTTTGCAGGCACCAGCCTCTAGCAGCAAAGAGGCAATCTGCACATCCCCGATCCTGCACGCTATCCCAAGGGGTGCTTCGCTTGAACAATCCCTGTCATCCAAATGCAGCGCAGGATCCCGGAGTAAACTTCCTTATTTGCTCACCTCCAACACACAGGTCGGGTAGGTCTGGGTTGGCGCGCGACTGCAACAGGGCTGCCACTATGTTCTTCGTCACGGGTCTGCTTCCCAAGGAAAGCGACGCACCGAGTGGTGGTCTACGGTAAATTCCCACGTCGAAGTAGGCATTGCTGTCAGCGAAGGCTTCTAACAGCAAGCGCGCAACTTCCAGCCGGTCCGTAGCACACGCCAAACCCAGAGGGCTGGCCCCATAGCGGTTGAACAGGTTGGGGTTCTGAGGTCGTGATAGCCACTCTTCAACCCGTGTGGTCTGCCCTATCTCGGCTACGCGTGCGAGCTGGTCTGCATCATTTTGAGATGTGGTGGCATACGGCAAGATCACTACTTGCACATCGACTGGCGAGTCAAATCTCGCTGTGTTATCCAACACTCTGCCATCATGCACAAGGGCCTGTTGGAATCTTGAGTGCCCGCAGTGTGGCACTAGCTGACTCTTCACAGTTGATAAACTCTTCATCTCATCCACAGGCATGCTGGCCATCTCTTTGCCAGAAACACTCCAGAATTTCAACATGTCTTACTGGTGGTCAGTGAGGAACGGGGGAATAGAATCCCTGTCTCATCCTAGACCCTCCATCTAACCTCTGTAAGACCCTGAGCACCCATTACTTGGGACCACAATGACCACACACCCCCATTTGAGGGCAGTGCGGCTCCTGTTACCTTATTCCCTACTCACCACCAATGCGGGGCAGCCCGAGCTGAAAACTGCAGGATGTAGAACTGCATTACACGTAGCCTCAATACCTATAGAAACTTTAGGGTTTGGGGTTTATAGGGTTGAGGGGCGTAGAGTTTAGGGTGAAGGGTCCTCGTGAGTGCTGCTTGCTATGCTACATATGGCTTTAACATGCTTTGGTTAAGCTTCAGACACGGGCTGTATTACTTCTGGTCAGAGATAACACTAGACCCAGGAGTAACCTA